ATATATATATATATATATATATATATATAAATATATATATATAGTATATATATATATATGCAATTAAATATATATTATCTATGTGTGTACATATATAAAAAATAAATATATAAATATGTTAGTTTGTTATGTATATTAGCTTTGGTTTATGCGTGCATTCAAAAATGGACTACATGTGACCGTGATTTTGTTAATGTACCTCTGTCACTAGTTGTTATGTATTATTATCATCATATCTGTGCTATTCCCATGTTATTAAACAACTATTTTTTTCGGAACCCACACGAATGCTTTTTTCCGCTCAAACAATTAGTGCCAACTTACTGAATAATAAAATTATTTTCCCGCTGTTTTACGAATGAAAAAAAAAGGAATTTTACCGTTTAAGAAATGCTTCACAAATGAACTTTCTCCATCATGTAACTGTATGACCTACACTCTGAGGTCCGTAATACAAGTCACGAGGAATGCAGAGTGTAAATAATAGTTATGAATAAATATTTAGAACTTTGGAAAATAATTTCTTGAATATGCGTACTTGTATTAAATTATACCAAATCAGAATTATCGATCTTTTTTGCAGCATAGTAGTACATTAACATATATTATATATATACACACACATACATATATCGTGTGGGTGTGTAATAGTTATGTTAGGCATAAGGATTGAAATCAGAATGTAAGGTTTAGAGGACGAAAAAATGATCAACCCAGTAAGAGGTGAGGAGAGACGAGCGCGTTGGCAAGAAGGAGAAATGTTTTTCAACATTTCAGAACATAAATAAAGCAAAACAAAAGGCTGTCACTACCTGGAAGTGTATATGTTTTGGCCTTCGAACGATTTTGTAAACCTATCCACCGTAACGGAAAACAAACATTTTTTATTGAGGAAAACCGTGTACCATTAACCGATAGGACTTTCCCGCAAGTATTCTGTGTTACGTCATACGACCAATAAATACAAGTGCAGGTCCCATGCACCGTCACTCTTGCAACGGAATCGTCTGATCCACATTCCTCAGTCATGTCTTCAACTGCAGTTCGAGTGTGCGCTCTCCTCGTCGTGTTGATGGTAAGTACTCAAAATCAACATTGATAACAAAGTAAACATACTGATGTGGATAAAACTTACAATTTCCCGTGTCTTTTTTTGTCATAACTATTAGTCAGCCAGATTATTCTTATGTTCTATTAACCACGTATGGCTTGAGTATATTCTAAACCCATGCTTTTACTTATTTCAATATTCTATAGACCATGCATGGCTCGAGCATATATAGCATATAATCCAATGTATAATATAGTTTACCATAAACACATAGCCTTTGGTTACACCAGCAACATATTACCCAGGTGCAGAACTCGTGGGCAGGTCGTCCTCGAGAGAAGCCAGGTTTCTGTCCTGCCTTCCCAGCTCCTCCTCCTCCTCCCGGAGGCATGTGAGTTATTTATATATCTATTCATTTTTATGTTTTCCACTGCAGTTCAGGTCAGCTTGTGTTGAACAGTGAGGATGGATCAGGAATAGAACGTAAATGCAAATGCAGATTAGGTTAAGGAGATAAAACCGACTGGCTCCTAACTCCCCCATTTCCTTTATCTCTTACAGTGACTTCTCTCCCGACAAGCTGGGTTTTGAAAGAAGAACAGGCTGCAGGGATGATAATGAATGTGAAGGTGAACTGAAATGCTGTGCAGCTGGAGTTTGCTGTCATTTTTTCTGTACGAAGCCGCTGGATAGGCCTATGTTTCGATAGGCCGACTGCATAGGCCTGGATAAGCTCTTTGAATAGTGCTGAAACAAACTGCTTTCTCAGCATCAAAGCGCGGATTCCCATTATATTTACCTGAACCTTATTTCGGGAGGATTCATAGATCACACTTTTTTTTCTTTTTTTAACAATCATGAAGTTGCAATAACCAATTCCTTGTTTTAATTCCCTACAAAAATATGTGTATGATATATATGTGTCTTGTATTGCTCTAGTTGTGACTGAATTTCAGTAATGTTTATTCATATCTGCCTTTGGTAAATCTCAAAGAACACATGAGATATATTATTATTTTCGTTTTTCGCGCGTAAATCCTTGTTTCTTATTTGAATTCGTAAACAGTCTCTTACGAGGTCATTGATGAATATAAGTCACGTAAAGAAATCCAAACGATTAATTAAAACCCATTTTTCAATGTGCCTTTGATTTCATTTGTATTAAGATTTATGAACTCTTTTGAGACTAAAGATAAGCATTATACCATTCTGTATAATCTTATACCACTTTGATATGTATTTCATTATAGATTATCCTCTAGATAATCCGTAAAGGTCCAAATAAGGAGCTACAAAATAGAATATAAAATATAATACCAGTTTATTATCTGCGTTGGTTATCTTTTTAATTCCCAGTGGTCTTGTCTTCCATTACATGTATATCTCAAGTTCTTCCAATTCCCTGGTTGGGAGCGAAAACTCGTGCGAAATGTTAGTAACTTTATAATGTTTTCACTTGTCTTGTGCTCGTGCGTTTTACTGCAGTTTCGTTTTCTTTTCTCGTTATAAGATTTTGTTTTCTCTTTCACGGCTGTTGTTCTAGCGGGATTTTCTTTTCTTTTTTTTTTTTAATACCTCTGCATTCTTGTGCTTATATATGTGTGTGGATACATTTTCTTTTTATTTTTTTTACGGTAAGGCAAATCCAGTTCAGTGTTTTCGTGACACTGGACCGTTCGTGTTACATGACTTCCGAGTCTAGCGTGGAGTTTTACCACGTTCTGTTAACATACTGCAGATTCGGGGTTTGTAAACATTGGATAATTAATAATAGTGTAAATATTAGTCATAAAGAAATATTTAGGACTTTGGAAAACAATTCCTTGAATATACGTACTTGCATTTACATTTTACCAAATCACAATGATCAATCTCGTTTTGTAGTAGTAGTACATTAACATATATATGTGTATACACACGCACACATATATATATACACAGATATATAGTGTGGGTGTGTAATAGTTATAGATTAGGCATAAGGATTGAAAATCACAAAATGTTAAAGGTTTGGAGGACGAAAAGGTGATCAACCGAGTTAGAGGTGAGCGCGTTGGCAAGAAATGTTTTTCAACATTCCAGAACATAAAAAAGCAAAACAAAAGGCTGTCACTACCTAGAGAAGCTGTATATGTTTGGCCTTCGAACCGATTTTGTAAACCTATCCGCCGTAACAAGGAAAAAAAAAAAACATTTTTTATCGGTGAAAACCGTGTACCATTAACCCGCAAGTATTCTGTTACGTCATACGACCAATAAATACAAGTGCAGATCCCTTGCACCGTCAGTCTTGCAACGGAATCGTCTGATCCACATTCCTCAGTCATGTCTTCAACTGCAGTTCGAGTGTGCGCTCTCCTTCTCGTCGTGTTGATGGTAAGTACTCAAAATCATCATTGATAACAAAGTAAACATATTGATGTGGAGATAAATACCATTATTTCCCGTGTATTTTTTAACCATAACTATTAGTCAACCAGATTATTCTTTTGTTCTGTAAACCATGCATGGCTTGAGCATATATAGCATGCATTCCAATATTCTATAAACCATACATAAATATTCATATTCTAATATTCTGTAAACCATGCATAAATGTAGAAATTCCAATATTCCAGAAACGATGCATGGCTTGAGCTTATAGACCCCTTGCAATGTTTACATGTAGAAACGCGCGCGCATGGTGTTAGGCAAAACATCTTCCTTTATCTGATGTTATGGCAGCGATCATACAAACTTTACGGAACTTTTGCGATTTCCGTTTTACTTTTGAGACGAAAAATTACTTCACAGTTGTGCAGTTGCTTGTACAAACCGTAAGCCTGGGGAAAAAAATCTTCGTTGCCTTTTTATGGAATGCCAAAAAGGAAAACGAAAATTCGATAAGCAACACGAAGAGAAAATTGAAAGCTCTTCACTGTTTATACTAATAGTGGGGTCAAAAATGTTCATCTTCAAAACCAGTGAGAACCCAACCATCAGCCTTGTTGAGGCATACCTAAGTCTTATAAAGTGCTGTCTTAATACCTTGGTGTTGACTAGGTAGCACCTACAGAATGAAATGAAATGCTAAATTTTACGCCTTTGAATCAGTCAGCTTAATAACCTTGGTCATTAATGGTTAGAATCTCATTCGACATTTTTGTTACATTTTGTACGTGTGAATAGCCACTTATCTATATTCCTAAATAAAATATTCTGTAAAGTGTCACCTATTCAACATCACAATCTATCCTCTGCCTATCACTCTATCATTCAAATGTATTCATAAATCTCTGTCCAACCCCAAACAAATTCATTTTGTTTCCTAACTTACGGTTCCGCAAGAACGACCCTTTGCGCCATAACACCGGCTCCTCGGTGGATAAAAGGGCAGCGCTTGGCCCCTTGATGCTTCAGTTCAGATCCGTCCTACGTCGCTTGCTCATCCGGCACAGTTGGTTGGGATTTCCATGATGACTTTTCGAGGAATTAGTGGCTGCGTGGTGTGTGTCGCCGTGATGCTGATGACGGTTGGTTTTGGATTTTTCGCCTTGTAGCATAAGTTTTTCATGGATTTATTCTTGTGTAATGTATATTGTGTGTATATTTATGCTGTATATGTACGTGTGAAGCACGTGCATTTACATGTGCGTACGTATGCTTCTTAATCAATCAAGAATATCATAAATCCGACAACCAAGGATATAGGATCTACTACACCCATAGGATCCCGTAGGATCTACTACACCTTTCTGTCCCCCTTTCCTAACTCTGCCGGCGTTAGTGCTCTGCCCAGGCGAGCACCGAACAGAAAGTTAAAAGGGGCTTCATGAAACCCGGTTCCTGTCCTCCTGTCACGACGAAACAGCTTGTACTAGGCGGGTAGGAGGATATTTTTTTCTCTGTCTCGTTCTTATTCTTACTTTGTTATTATAGTTCTTATTAATTCTTATGAGTATCCATGTTAGTTTGCTTAAGGCACAAAAAGAAATATAATTTTATGCCATATTCCTACTAATGACACGTTTACCATTAAGAAAATTATCATTGTCGCAATTTTTAGAAAGAGAACTGTTGCCATGATTGCCAATATCATCTATTAATGTCTTCGTTATTATGTATTTAGACCACGGTTATTATCAGTATTATCACCATCTTCACCCTCACCCTCACCTTCACTATCATGCAATCCATCACTGTTATCATGCTTAAGTATTAATCATTATCACTGTTATTGGCATTTTTTGTTTATTTATATTATATTTTTATCATCACATCATGCAGCCGCAGATCTTGGAAAATTCTTTATAAGCCGCTGTGATGAGGGGGGGGGGTGACCCCAGTGAGACCGTGATGGTAATGATAGTGATAATGATCGTAAATGTGATAATAATAATTGAAATGATAATGATAATGATGGCGATAATGATGGTGATAATGATAATGTTAAAAACTATGATGGTATTATGAATATCATTACTAGTCCTACCACTAGTGCTATTACTATTACTATTATTACTCTCATTTCATAATCTTTATTATCATGATCGTTATTACCTCCGCCAAGAGGACTATGTTTTTGGTCGCGTTGGTTAGTTAGTTTGTTCGTTGGTTAGTGGGATAAATCATAAAGTTATGGACAGATTTTTATACGAGTATATATATATATATATATATATATATATATATATATATATATATTATATATATATATATATATATTATCAGAAGCGTGGCTTAGCCTTTTAAACTTTATATCATAAACACCAACATTATTAATCTAGTATTTATTATAATCACCAAATTTATCAACATTTTAGCATTATCATAAAACCATCAATATTAGCATTTAACATTATTATCGAAAACACGATTATCAACATTTTAACTTTATCATCGTCAACAGCTGATCATAAACAACTCTATTAACATCCGAGCATTGTACTCATAAACACCACTATTATCAGCGTTCTAATATGATCACAAACATTTTATCATTAACATTATGGTTCTCCCTCAAACAGCCTCAAAAATCTGAATTGCCACAAGGATATGGATTGTGATCTCATTGAAAAATGTTGCTTGGTTCCTGGTGGGTTATCTTGTGTTCAGCCAAAGTTCTGATCGGATAACTGAGAAAATCAAGGTAGGTTTATTTATTATTATTATTGTTACATTTTTTTCGGAGGGGGAGGGAGGAAAAAACATAAGTGTGGAAAAGTATCTGTGTCGGATCTGGTTTTGGAATATTCGATATCTGGGTACAACTTTCAGTTTTGAAAGTAAGGAAATACTTTCGGGATTTATAATTTCGTATGAACTTATACAAAATAATGGACATGATATTTGTTTTTTTCTCGTTTTCAGGTTAACAGACAGTTCCAGAAGATTCGATTGCCTCGGAGATAACCATGGTTCAGAATGAGCACACACAGTGGCCGCAGCCTTGTTTCCAGAAGACTGTGTCGATTTATAAATTGATTTGCCGTCTGTGATGGTAGAGATTGTTGATCCTTCAGAATAAAATTTGAATGATTAATCCTGTTTGATTCGTAATGGATTGCCTAATATGCCCTATCTGATAGGTTTGTTTATATATATGCAATTAAATATATTTTATATATGTATGTGTATGTGTGCACATATATAAAAATAAGTATATAAATATGTTGAATAAATATGTGTAATAGTTATCTTAGGCATAAGGATTGAAAATCAGAATGTAAGGTTTAGAGGACGAAAAAATGATCAACCCAGTAAGAGGTGAGGAGAGACGAGCGCGTTGGCAAGAAGGAGAAATGTTTTTCAACATTTCAAACAAAAAAAGCAAAACAAAAGGCTGTCACTACAAACAAAAGGGACACATTTTTGTTTGTATATGTTTGGCCTTCGAACCTAAACCTATCCGCCGTAACAAGGAAAACCACCGATAGGACTTTCCCGCAAGTATTCTGTGTTACGTCATACGACCAATAAATACAAGTGCAGGTCCCATGCACCGTCAGTCTTGCAACGGAATCGTCTGATCCACATTCCTCAGTCATGTCTTCAACTGCAGTTCGATTGTGCGCTCTCCTTCTCGTCGTGTTGATGGTAAGTACTCAAAATCAACACTGATAACAAAGTAAACATATTGATGTGGATAAAAAATTATAATGTCCCGTGTCTTTTTAGTCATAACTATTAGTCAGCCAGATTATTCTTTTGTTCTATTAACCATGCATGGCTTGAGCATATTCTAAAACCCATGCTTTTACTTATTTCAATATTCTATAGACCATGCATGGCTCGAGCATATATAGCATATAATCCAATGTATAATATAGTTTACTATAAACACATAGCCTTTGGTTACACCAGCAATATATTACCCAGGTGCAGAACTCGTGGGCAGGTCGTCCTCGAGAGAAGCCAGGTGTCTGTCCTGCCTTCCCAGCACCTCCTCCTCCTCCCGGAGGCATGTGAGTTATTTATATATCTATTCATTTTTGTTTTCCACTGCAGTTCAGGTCAGCTTGTGTTGAACGTGAGGATAGATCAGGACTAGAACGAAATTACAAATAATGTAAAATATGTGCAAATCGTCAAAAACACGATCGCAGATTAGGTTAAGGAGATAAAACCGACTGGCTCCTAAGTCTCCCATTTCCTTTATCTCTTACAGTGACTTCTCTCCCGACAAGCTGGGTTTTGAAAGAACAGGCTGCAGGGGTGATTATGAGTGTGAAGGTGATCTGAAATGCTGTGCAGCTGGAGTTTGCTGTCACTTTTTCTGTACGAAGCCGCTGGATAGGCCCCACTGGATAGGCCTATGTTTGGATAGGCTCTTTCAGTAGTTCTGAAACCAAGTGATCTCTCTCAGCATCAAAGCGTGGATTCCCATTATATATATGTGTGTAAATACCCGAACCTATTTTCGCTTTTTCGCGTAAATTCTTGTTTCTTATTGAATGATAATTGTAAACATCTCTTACGAGTCATTGATGAATATGTCACGTTAAGAAATTCAAACGATTAATTATAGCCCATCAATCAATGTGCCTTTGATTTTCATTTGTATTAAGATTTATGAACTCTTTTGAGACTAAAGATAAGCATTATTCCATTCTGTATAATCTTATACCACTTTCATATGCATTTCATAATAAATTATCTTCTAGATAATCCGTAAATGTCCAAATAAGGAGTTACAAAATGAAATAGAAAATATAATACCAGCATTAATTATCTGGTAGGGTTTGTAAACACTGAGAAGGTAAATTAGCGTGTGTCTTGAAGTTACATTTCTCTCCCAGTGCACTAGACGCTGAAGTTAGTTTTCCGAATAGAAAGTGACTTTTGACATGCACATGACATACTGGTTTAGAAGGTACGTGATTAAACTACAGGTTTAAGTCAACGCTCCTCATTAAAAGCAAAACAGAAAGGAGGTAATGTGAGAGAGATGAAATACAGCCATTGTGGAAAAAAATAAAACCCGAGACTGTTTCGATATGTTCCCCATTTATTTGCACATCCTAATGAAGTAGAGAATATATGCGGATTTGTGTGTGTGTATGTATATATATATATATATATATATATATATATATATATATATATATATATATATAAGAAAAAAAGGAAAAAATATAGTTTAGATACAAGGAAAGGTTTAGTTTCCATTTGGGAAATCCCTTGCACGTGGGAGCCTCCGGGCACAATGCATGAATGATAATACTTGCTTTGCTTCCTGATGGTCATCGACACAATATTTAAGTCTACCTCGCTGTTGCTGCCAACACAAAGCGTCGAGTCTGCGGTGGAAGAGGGACCTCTGCTTCTCGTCTGTGAAATGGCCTCGTTCGCAATAATTTTGCGTGACTGGCAACAGCCTCTCACTTTAAACACATGGCTCGCTGATAGCTCCGCCGAAACATAGTGCAGCGTATTTCCTATTTTTATTCAGTGTAATAAAACATTACTTGTTGGACTTAGTACTGCTATTGTTTGTTTTTTATTGACTGAATAATAAAGTCCTATATATATGGTCTCAATATTTACTCAAAAACTCCTACAGACCGATTCGGTAACGCCTAGCAACCGCCCCTAGCAACGAGCACTTGGTGAAAACAAACCTTGGCTCGTTCAAAAAATCACTGCACTTTGCTTACAAAGTAGCTGAATTTTTCTGAGAATTTCGTTTCTTTGCGTGAAAATGCCAAGGAACTGTGTTGTCGTTGGTTGTTCGAACCAAAACATGATGGGAAAGAAAGGTTTAACCCTTCATATATCTCCAGATCGCGAAAAGAAACCTGAATAATGGAAGCGATGGTAGGCCTACAGGCCATGAAACGCATGAACGCTGATGGGAGTGCTTGGTCGCCTGGTGGAAAATGTTTACATCTGCCAGAACATTTTATTGATCTACATATTAATATATTACACCTTTTCAAATTTCAGAGACAGATAATTACTTTCAAACTCTTGTCTATCTACACTACCTATCAAGGCCAAACAAGATCCGTCATTAGGTTTTGGCAGTAGTCATATTCTAAAAAGCACAAAAGCAATTCTAGTATTTTCATTTTATTCCTTTTTTGTAATAAATTGATTTATCATAATTTATATTTACAGGCAAACCATCCCCGCATCCACTTCACCCAGACTTTATCCCAAGTGCCTTCAAGCACTGTACATTAAATGAAAACAAAGCAGGTATACAGTTGCCTGTTGCCTTTGTGTCTGAAATGTCACATGGTCCAGCAGAAGAAATAACTGAAAAGGGCCTATCTCTTGAGGTCAAATTATTGAGGAGAGAGAAAAATGCGTTGTGCGCTTTTAGGCCTATACATGACTTCATTGTCTCCTTTGTGTAAACACCTAGTAAATGGGAAGAAAAGTGATGTAAGGAAATGCACTGATTTCACAGAAAAATACTCTATATAGCTAAACGTCATACTTTACTGTAGCAAATTATGTTATTATAAAATGATTATTATCACCATCTGCTTTATTGATAGAATAGTATGTCAGAATATTCAATTTAGGTCACTTCGAAGGATCGTCGATCCAGATTTCGGTATGCGTACTCTTTTAGCTACACAGCTTCTAGTTTTGCTTCATATCACCTTTTCGCTTCGGTTTTTGAGGAATCAAAGAATTCACACCATTTTTCTTCACGTTGATAGCGAGGTATCTGCGAGCGACGGGTTTTTTTCACCAAGTGGAATGGCGACTCCGACTCGTGACGTCACAACGAATCAGTCTATTCTCTTCAGAGCATTATAGAAAATATCTAAAAAAGTTATGATAATTTCCAAGAAATATATGCAAATGAATTTAGAGGTTTAGCATTTGCTAATTCTATCCATTGCCATAGCATTTTTTTTTTTTTTTTATGGAAAAAGATATCCAAGTAAACAAGCAGAAAACATAAATATCTAAGAACAATTTATGTATCATCATTATTTTGGCGGAGAAGCGATAACAGTTTTGATAAGAAACGGTGTATTTTTTTTCAACGGCTTTATTCACACACGTTCACCGGTCTCCCAATTGCTTCTTCGCCTCGACAGAAAAAAAAGGTTTTGTCTTTATCACTACGAGCTTCTATAAAACCATCTTTGCCTCCCTATAAATTTTGTACGTGTGAATAGCCACTTATCTATGTTCTGAAATAAAATATTCTGAAAAGTGCCACCCATTCAACATCACAGTTTATCCTCTGCCTATCAATCATTCAAATGCATTCATAAATCTCTGTCCAACCCCAAACAAATTCATTTTGTTTCCTAACACGGTTTCGCAACACCGACCATTTTCGCCATAACACCGGCTCCTCGGTGGATAAAAGGGCAGCGCTTGGCCCCTTGATGCTTCAGTTCAGATCCGTTCTACGTCGCTTGCTCATCCGGCACAGTTGGTTAGGAGTTCCATGATGACTTTTCGAGGAATAAGTGTGTGCGTGGTGTGTGTCGCCGTGATGCTGATGACGGTTGGTTTTGGATTTTTCGCCTTTTAGCATAAGTTTTTCATGGATTTATTCTTGTGTAATGTATATTGTGTGTATATTTATGCTGTATATGTACGTGTGTGCATTTACATGTGCGTAGGTATGCTTCTTAATCAATCAAGAATATCATAAATCCGACAACCAAGGATATAGGATCTACTGCACCCATTCCTTTCTGTTCCCCTTTCCTAACTCTGCCGGCGTTAGTGCTCTGCCCAGACGAGCACCGAACAGGAAGTTGAAACGGACTCCGTGAAACCCGGTTCCTGTCCTCCTATCACGGCGTCACAGCTTTTACAGCAGGGGTAGGAGGATATTTTTGTCTTAATCTCGTTCTTATTCTTTTTGTTATTATTGTTCTTAATTCTTATGAGTATCCATGTTAGTTTCCTTAAGGCAATGTCTTTCCTACTAATGACACGTTTACCATTAACAAAATGATCATTGTCGCAATTTTTATAAAGACACTGTTGCCATGATTGTCAATATCATCTATTAATGTCTTCGATATTATGTTTTCAGACCACGGTTATTATCAGTGGTATTATCACCATCTTCACCCTCACCCTCATCATCACTATCATGCAATCCATCACTGTTATCATGCTTAAGTATCAATCATTATCACTGTCGTTATTGGCATTTTTTTTTTTTTTGCTTTTATTGGCTTTTTTTTTTTTTATCATCACATCATGCAGCCGCAGATCTTGGAAAATTCTTTATAAGCCACTGTGAGAGTACACACTGGGGGAGTGGTGACCCCCCCCCATGAATGAGGTGGATCGTTATAACCACAGATTTTATACGATATATATATATATATATATATATATATATATATATATATATTTTTTTTTTTTTTTTTTTTTTTTTTACCAGAAGCGTGGCTTAGCCTTTTGAACTTTATTATCATAAAAACCATCAATATTAGCATTCTAACATTATTATGAACATTATCAACATTTTAACTTTACTCATAAAACCAAATATCAGCATTCTAACATGCCAACATGATAACATTTCATCATTAACTCTTAAACACCACAATTATCAGCATTCTAACATGATCACAAACATTTCATCATTAACTCTTAAACACCACAATTATCAGCATTCTAACATGATCACAAACATTTCATCATTAACATTACGATTCTCCAACAGCATCAAGAATCTGGAGTGCCAGCAGGATTCGGATTGTGATGACACTGACAAATGCTGCTTGGTTCCTGGTGGGTTATCTTGCGTTGAGCCAGAGGTCGGATCGGATGAGGAGATGAGGAGATGAGGAGATCATGGTAGGTTGATTTATTCTTATTGTTACTTGTTTAGGGAGTGTGAGGGAGGAAAGTGCGTTATTCTTATTTTTCGGAGGTGGGGGGGAGGTGAGGGAGGAAAGTGAACATAAGTGGAAAAGTATCTGTGTCGGATCTGGTTTTGGAATAGTCTGCTATCCATTCGATATTTGGGTACAAGCTTTCAGTTTTGAAAGTAAGGAAATACTTTTCGGGTTTATAATTTCGTATGAACTTATACAAAATAATGGACATGATAATTGTTCTTTCCTCGTTTTCAGGTTACAGACAGTTCCAGAAGATTCGATTGCCTCGGAGATAACCATGGTTCAGAATGAGCACACACAGTGGCCGCAGCCTTGTTTCCAGAAGACTGTGTCGATTTATAAATTGATTTGCCGTCTGTAATGGTAGAGATTGTTGATCCTTCAGAATAAAATTTGAATGATTAATCCTGTTTGATTCGTAATGGATTGCCTAATATGCTCTATCTGATATGTTTGCATATATATATATATATATATATATATATATATATATATATATATATATATATATGCAATTAAATATATATTATCTATGTTTGTACATATATAAAAATAAATATATAAATATGTTAGTTTGTGTATGTATATATTAATGCTTTGGTTTATGCGTGCATATCAAAATGGACTACATGTGAACGTGATTGTTATGTACCTCTGTCATAGTTGTATGTATTATTATCATCATATCTGTGCTATTCCCATTGTTTATCAAGATTATTAAACAACTAATTTTTTTCGGAACCCACACGAATGCTTTTTCCGTCAAACAATTAGTGCAACTTACTGAATAATAAAATTATTTTCCCGCTGTGTTTACGAATGAAAAAAAGGAATTTACGTTTAGAATGTCACAACTCTCCATGAACTTTCTCCATCATGTACTGTATGACCTGCACTCTGAGGTCGTAATACAAGTCACGAGGAATGCAGAGTGTAAATAATAGTTATGAATAAATATTTAGAACTTTCGAAAATAATTCCTTGAATATACGTACTTGTATTAAAATTATACCAAATCAGAATTATCGATCTTGTTTTGCAGCAGTAGTACATTAACATATATGTATATATATACACACACATACATATATCGTGTGGGTGTGTAATAGTTATCTTAGGCATAAGGATTGAAATCAGAATGTAAGGTTTACAGGACGAAAAAATTATCAACCCAGTAAGAGGTGAGGAGAGACGAGCGTGTTGGCAAGAAGGAGAAATGTTTTTTCAACATTTCAGAACATAAATAAAGCAAAACAAAAGGCTGTCACTACATAGAAGTGTATATGTTTGGCCTTCGAACCGATTTTGTAAACCTATCCACCGTAACGGAAAACAAACATTTTTTATCGAGGAAAACCGTGTACCATTAACCGATAGGACTTTCCCGCAAGTATTCTGTGTTATGTCATACGACCAATAAATACAAGCGCAGGTCCCATGCACCGTCACTCTCGCAACGGAATCGTCTGATCCACATTCCTCAGTCATGTCTTCAACTGCAGTTCGAGTGTGCGCTCTCCTCGTCGTGTTGATGGTAAGTACTCAAAATCATCATTGATAACAAAGTAAATATAATGATGTGGATAAAACTTACAATTTCCCGTGTCTTTTTTTGTCATAACTATTAGTCAGCCAGATTATTCTTATGTTCTATTAACCACGTATGGCTTGAGTATATTCTAGAACCCATGCATTTACTTATTTCAATATTCTATAGACCATGCATGGCTCGAGCATATATAGCATATAATCCAATGTATAATATAGTTTACCATGAACACATAGCCTTTGGTTACACCAGCAACATATTACCCAGGTGCAGAACTCGTGGGCAGGTCGTCCTCGAGAGAAGCCAGGTTTCTGTCCTGCCTTCCCAGCACCTCCTCCTCCTCCCGGAGGCATGTGAGTTATTTATATATCTATTCATTTTTATGTTTTCCACTGCAGTTCAGGTCAGCTTGTGTTGAACAGTGAGGATGGATCAGGAATAGAACGTAAATGCAAATGCAGATTAGGTTAAGGAGATAAAACCGACTGGTTCCTAACTCCCCCATTTCCTTTATCTCTTACAGTGACTTCTCTCCCGACAAGCTGGGTTTTGAAAGAAGAACAGGCTGCAGGGGTGATAATGAGTGTGAAGGTGAACTGAAATGCTGTGCAGCTGGAGTTTGCTGTCATTTTTTCTGTACGAAGCCGCTGGATAGGCCTATGTTTCGATAGGCCGACTGCATAGGCCTGGATAAGCTCTTTGAATAGTGCTGAAACAAACTGCTTTCTCAGCATCAAAGCGCGGATTCCCATTATATTTACCCAAACTTTATTTCGAGAGGATTCATAGATCACACTTTTTTTTTCTTTTTAACAATCATGAAATTGCAATAACCAATTTCTTGTTTTAATTCCCTACAAAAATATGTGTATGATATATATGTGTGTCTTGTATTGCTCTAGTTGTGACTCTGAATTTCAGTAATGTTTATTCATATCTGCCTTTGGTAAATCTCAAAGAACACATGAGATATATTATTTTTACTTTTTTTTCGCGTAAATCCTTGTTTCTTAATGAATTAAAATCTTACGAGGTCATTGATGAATATAAGTCACGTAAAGAAATCCAAACGATTAATTATAGCCCATCAATCAATGTGCCTTTGATTTCATTTGTATTAAAATTTATGAACTCTTTTGAGACTAAAGATGAACATTATACCATTCTGTATAATCTTATACCACTTTGATATGTATTTCATTATAGATTATCCTCTAGATAATCCGTAAAGGTCCAAATAAGGAGCTACAAAATAGAATATAAAATATAATACCAGCGTATATTATTTTTTTAATTCCCAGTGGTCTTGTCTTCCATTACATGTGTATCTCAAGTTCTTCCAATTCCTTGGTTGGGACCGAAAACTCGTGCGAAATGTTAGTAACTTTATCATGTTTTCACTTGTCTTGTGCTCGTGCGTTTTACTGCAGTTTCGTTTTCTTTTCTCGTTATAAGATTTTGTTTTCTCTTTCACGGCTGTTGTTCTAGCGGGATTTCTTCTTTTTTTTTTTTTTTTTCTTTTTTTAATACCTCTGCATTCTTGTGCTTATATATGTGTGGATACATTTTCTTTTATTTTCTTTTTTTACTGCAGTAAGGCAAATCCAGTTCAGTGTTTTCATGACATTGGACCGTTCGTGTTACATGACTTCCGAGTCTAGCGTGGAGTTTTACCACGTTCTGTTAACATACTGCAGATTCGGGGTGTGTAAACATTGGAAAATTAATGATAGTGTAAATATTAGTCATAAAGAAATATTTAGGACTTTGGAAAACAATTCCTTGAATATACGTACTTGCATTTACATTTTACCAAATCACAATAATCAATCTCGTTTTGTAGTAGTAGTACATTAACATGTATATGTGTATACACACGCACACATATATATACACAGATATATAGTGTGGGTGTGTAATAGTTATAGATTAGGCATAAAGATTGAAAATCACAAAATGTAAAAGGTTTGGAGGACAAAAAGGTGATCAACCGAGTTAGAGGTGGGCGCGTTGGCAAAAAATGTTTTTAAACATTTCAGAACATAAAAAGCAAAACAAAAGGCTGTCACTACCTAGAGAAGCTGTATATGTTTGGCCTTCGAACCGATTTTGTAAACCTATCCGCCGTAACAAGGAAAAGAAACATTTTTTATCGGTGAAAACCGTGTACCATTAACCGGCCGCAAGTATGCTGTGTTACGTCATACGACCAATAAATACAAGTGCAGATCCCTTGCACCGTCAGTCTTGCAACGGAATCGTCTGATCCACATTCCTCAATCATGTCTTCAACTGCAGTTCGAGTGTGCGCTCTCCTTCTCGTCGTGTTGATGGTAAGTACTCAAAATCAACATTGATAAGAAAATAAACATATTGATGTGGAGAAAAATACCAATTCCCGTGTATTTTTTAACCATAGCTATTAGTCAACCCGATTATTCTTTTGTTCTATAAGCCATGCATGGCTTGAGCATATATAGCATGTATTCCAATAATCTATAAACCATACATAAATATTCATATTCTGATATTCTGTAAACCATACATAAATATAGATATTCTAATCTATAAACGATGCATGGCTTGAGCTTATAGACCCCTTGCAATGTTTACATGTAGAAACGCGCGCGCATGGTGTAAGGCAAAACATCTTCCTTTATCTGTTGTTATGGCAGCGATCATTCAAACTTTACGGAACTTTTGCGATTTCCGTTTTACTTTTGAGACGAAAAATTACTTCACAGTTGTGCAGTTGCTTGTACAAACCGTAAGCCTGGGAAAAAAATCTTCGTTGCCTTTTTATGGAATGCCAAAAAGGAAAACGAAAATTCGATAAGCAACACGAAGAGAAAATTGAAAGCTCTTCACTGTTTATACTAATAGTGGGGTCAAAAATTTTCATCTTCAAAACCAGTGAGAACCCAACCATCAGCCTTGTTGAGGCATACCTAAGTCTTATAAAATGCTGTCTTAATACCTTGGTGTTCACTAGGTAGCACCTACAGAATGAAATGAAATGCTAAATTTTACGCCTTTGAATCAGTCAGCTTAATAACCACTTGTCTATGTTCCTAAATAAAATATTCTGTAAAGTGTCACCTATTCAACATCACAATCTATCCTCTGCCTATCATTCTATCATTCAAATGCATTCATAAATCTCTGTCCAACCCCAAACAAATTCATTTTGTTTCCTAACACGGTTTCGCAAACGACCTTTGCGCCATAACACCGGCTCCTCGGTGGATAAAAGGGCAGCGCTTGGCCCCTTGATGCTTCAGTTCAGATCCGTCCTACGTCGCTTGCTCATCCGGCACAGTTGGTTGGGATTTCCATGATGACTTTTCGAGGAATAAGTGTGTGCGTGGTGTGTGTCGCCGTGATGCTGATGATGGTTGGTTTTGGATTTTTCGCATTTTAGCACATGTTTTTTCATGGATTTATTCTTGTGTAATGTATATTGTGTGTATATTTATGCTGTATATGTACGTGTGAAGCATGTGCATTTACATGTGCGTACGTATGCTTCTTAATCAATCAAGAATATCATAAATCCGACAACCAAGGATATAGGATCTACTACACCCATAGGATCCCGTAGGATCTACTACACCTTTCTGTCCCCCTTTCCTAACTCTGCCGGCGTTAGTGCTCTGCCCAGGCGAGCACCGAACAGAAAGTTAAAAGGGGCTTCATGAAACCCGGTTCCTGTCCTCCTGTCACGACGAAACAGCTTGTACTAGGCGGGTAGGAGGATATTTTTTTCTCTGTCTCGTTCTTATTCTTACTTTGTTATTATAGTTCTCCTTAATTCTTATGAGTATCCATGTTAGTTTGCTTA